TTTTTTTTAAAGACTATTCAAAGTGGCCTATTTTAAGGACATAAACTAATGCTCGAGTGAATAATATCACTTGCTCTGCAAGCAGGAGCCCCTGAATTTGTATCCCAGCATGCACACGAAAAGCTGAGTGTGGTCAACCTTGTACCTATAATCTCAGTGCTGTGTGGGTGGTAGGTGGTGGGCGGTGGGTGCTGGGTACTGGGTGATGGTTGGGGCAGAGGCAGGAGGATTGCTGGGGCTTCCTGGCTACTACCCTGCAGTGAGATTTAAACATGTTTTTCTTTACTGAGTTCTTAAAGTGGCGTTCTTATTTAGTTTTTCTCATTGCTTGAGGCCCAGCAAAGACAAGCGTGTTTTAAATCTAGAGCAATGACATGCCTTTGGTTACAAATGCAGGACGAATGGGGTGTCTGCAGGAGCAGGGAACATCAACATAGAAAACTTTCCCCCTTAAGGGCCATAAGGTTTAGCATATTTCAGTGCTCCAAAGTTGGGCATTAGGTGGTGGTGCATGCCTTTTGTCCCTGCAGTAGGGAGACAGAGGCAGGCAGGCAGATCTCTAGGAGATAGAGGCCATCCTGGTCTACATATCAAGTTCCAAGTCAGCTGTGGCTACAGAGAGGTCCTGTCTAAAATCAAACAAACCAAACCAAACCAAAACAACAACAACAACAACAACAACAACAACACACACACACACACACACACACACAGAGTTAGGCATTAGGATAAATACATTGGCTGCCATGGAGACTACCTGCTTCTCCCAGTGACATGATTTGGCCCATCTTCCCTGTGAGCTGGTGGCTGTTCCAGATGTCCATCACCTCAGCCTAGGACAGGAAGAACAGCTTGCAGCTGTGAACTGATGAAGCCGCTGAGGTCTGAGGGTGTGACTGGACGGTTTGCAGATGTGATTAGAGCTGTATGCAAGACTTTCAGCTAATTGTTTCCTCAGCAAGGAATGGACAGAAGATAAGGTTTCCCAAACTAAAAGGGCATTTTCAGAAAAGCAGCGGAAAAAAATATTCATGTGTGTGTGTGTGTGTGTGTGTGTGTGTGTGTGTGTTTTAAGTGTGTATGTGTTTTGTGCAGAAGTGAATTTGGAACACATCTTTCAAGAAAACTAAAACAGCTTTCAGCTTTATCCTCTTTCTGTTTCATTAGCTCAGTGTGATAGAGTTTGTTACATCCCACCTTGTACTGCATTGTGACCAGAGTTACATATGAATTTGCATCAAATCCATCTGAAGTGACTATTACCTTTTAATATGTATCATTTTCATCTAAGAAGTTTCCTTTTTCAACCGCTCATCCACATTCTTGTAAAGAACTCTAAACTTCTTGGCTCTCTCTTTCTCTCTCTCTCTCTCTCTCTCTTTCTCCTCTCTCTCCTCTCTCTCTCACTCTGTCTCTCTCCCCTCTCTTCTCTCTCTCCTCTCTCTCCCCTCCTCTCTCTCTCTCTCTCTCTCTCTCTCTCTCTCTCTCTCTCTCTCTCTCTCATTATGATGTAGACGACAGACCAGTCAGAAAAAGGAAGGAGCTCAAGAGAAATAGGAGGTGGACAAGAGAGGACAGTGACCGTAAGATCAAAATGAATACATTACATACATATGAAGATGTCGTCACCAAACACATTGTTGACATAATCAATACATGCTAATAACATAAAGCAGCAAACAGAGGTCAAAGAGAGCTGCTACACTATTAGACTTTATAGTGACTTGTATTGTCTGACTTTCTAAAACTAAAGTTAAAATCCTATAGTCAGTTCTTCTTAACTTTTTCCTCCTTATCCACAAAGTGCATTGTTTGGCCCCATCTCTCCCGTATACACTGTGGTCACAGTAATGGACAGAGCAGGTCTGGAAGTCATGCTTGCAGACTAAGCCATGTCAAAGGAGGCAAAGTATGTAAAACATGTGAAGAAGCATGCTACATATTTGCTTACCCTCCATCCCGAAGATGATCTATCCTGTCACCAGAGATAAGGATGCAAGTTAAAAATACCTCAATGTACTTAATATTTATCTGAGCATCATGATTTAAGTCCCCAGGTCTGATGCCACAAGGTAGATTTTCCAGAGCAGCTGTGGCTCATCGTTGTAAGCTTCCCATGTCATCACCCTGCTCATGTAGATCTCTGCCATCTTCTTCTAAAGACCTGCACACCTGCTGTGACATGGATAGCGAACTGAGCTCAGTGTGTGTCTTAGTGAGGCTTTTGGAGGCTTGAAAGTTCAACGCCAGGTCACCTCATCTTGTTTGAGGGCAGCAAGCAGACAGGTGTGGAGAGTCAAGAGAACAGGAAGGGTGGACCGCCTCATCATGAGTGTTTTGTGCTTTTGCTTTTTTCTTACAGAGAGAGGGTCTTACTAGTACCTCTGGCTGACAACTCCCTGTGTAGAACAAAGTGCCTTTGAACACTTGCCTCAGCCTCCCAAGTACTGGGATGACAGGAATGTGCCACCATGCCAATTGATCAACACAAATTTTGATGGTCAGAAACCATATTCAAGCATATGTGTGTATATATATATATAAGTATGTTTGTATATATTTATGTATATATATATATATATATGTGTGTGTGTGTGTGTGTGTGTGTGTGTATTATATAGTCTTTTAAAGACAGGGTCTCTCTGTTGCCCCAGCTGACCTGGAACTTGATAAGTAGACAAGGCTGGTCTCAATCTCAAAGAAATCTGCCTGCCTCTGCCTCCTGAGTGTTGGGATTAAAGGCAAGTGCAACCACATCTGGCTGCAAATATATTTTTTGAAGTCTAAGAAATCCTATCTACAGTGCTCATTGCATTTAACTATCCCAGGACTGTGTTTCCCTCAGTGATCAAGTGAAGAAGCCAAGGCTTGAACGTTCAGAGTGATTTGTTCAAATTTCTACTACTAGGAAGGATTTGAATATTAACTTCCAATAATACGATTTAATCTTCAATAAAAGCCTACCACATATTTGCCAGGTTATGGTCAAGCACTGTTTATGTATCTTTAATCCTCACGGCAACCATGAGGGGAAATAGCACTGCCAGTGTGCTGTGGTGAATCCACGACTTCAAGGAAGTGGAGACTTAGCTGAAGTCACCGAGGAGCTCAGGCTGGTATTTCCGGTCTGGTAGTGTCTCCTCAGTTTTGGAACTCATGCTTTCATCTTTGTTGAAAGTCCAGGCCCTTTTGAGTCTATATTCTGTCCATTGTCTATGTACTGAGAAATTCCTTATTTTAAAGATATGTCAAGAGTAGAAAAGACATGCCCTTAAGTTACTTTACCTTTGAATGGTCTCTTCTTTTGGAAAAGGGAGACAAAACCACTGCCAGTTTGGGGAGGTTTCAAAATGGTCCTGCATCACACGGGGCGTCCTCTGATGGCGGAGTATCTGCCATTTCCTCAACCACCGATCACCTCTGATCCTCTCTGACAATAACTATTTATTCCTTAGGTTTACGAACAAGGCTCGGGATCTTCTAATCCTGGATGAGGGGATGGAAAAGAAAATGCCTAACAGCAGGTATTCTGGAAGCATCCACACTCCATCTAAGGACCTATATGTACACTGTTGAGATGTATTAATGGCTGGACTGTATTTAGGCTGACCTCTGGTGTGTGCTGACAAGTGGCAGATTTGAGTGGTGACTCAGAGATCTAGAAGATTAAGAACCATGTAAGGGGATAGAAGCAGGTCAGATGAGACACAGCCTAGAGTAGGTCCTATGTTGAGAACATGCAGTAGTCTGGAGGAGAGTGTAGTTGAATATCCATAAAATGAGAAAATGCTTATTACTTAGAAAACAATTGATCAACCTGGGCTGTAAACCATCTTTGTATAGAGCTGTACTCCTCCTGGTGCTGAATTGGCAGAGGCAGGACCCTGAGTTTGAACAGCTTGTGCACAGAGTAATTTGAAGACCATTTTCAGTGACATAACAAGACCCTGTGTTTAAAAAACAAACAAAAAACCCCGGAACAAAAACAAAAACATTAAAATAAACAAAACCCAAAGACTAAGGGTATGGCTGAGTGGTACAGCACTGGCCTCACAGGCCCAAGGCCTTGAGTTTGATGCCCAGCACCACTGCATACAGACCAATACCAACTTCCACAGTAAACACTACGTATAGATAAAAAACTGGAAGCCCGGCATGGTCATCCCAGCACTCAGGAGGCAGAGGCACGTTGATCTCTGTGAGATTGAGGCCAGCCTGGTCTCTACAGCAAGTTCCAGACCAGCTTGGGCTACACAGAAACCATGTCTCAAAAAACCAACAAAACAAGAAAACCTGGAAGAATAAACCAAGAATTTCAGAGTCAAATGTGAATGTTTTAAAGGCATTCCTAAAATACACTGAGCTGCAAGAAACGTAATTCAAAAAAACTGAAGTAATCTGTCTCTTTAAACAACAGAGGATCTCTGACAGTTGGTAAAGTGTGGAGATAAGGACCATACTCACACCATTTCTTACACATAAATATAAATATATAAATGTTTTAGTTAGCTTTTCTTCCTAGTGTTTTCCTGTAAGCATCCTCGATTTCTGCTAAAGATATTGGTGCTTTTTGTTTCAAAAGACATGTTCCTTTATCTGCTCAGTCTTCATCTACTGATTTTGAACATGTTTTTGGCACACGTCAAGTACTTATTTCTAATGTAGGACTATGTAGCTGGTTACCATCTTGACTTCCGTGACAGTATGAGCTTTCATCACATAATTTCCTCTTCTCACTTTGGTCACGTGGAGGGGCAGAAGATTTTGTGCTGGAGCATCAGTCAGTGGCCACACACTTCTGCCTTTCACCTTGGAGCCTCTGAGGGGCTCAGGACAGAGAGCCTGCTTGTCCTCACTGGGACCACTTCTCTCCACCGGCATCACTGCCTGGCTGAGATTCAGGTAAAAGCTGTTTTTATTACTTCAGATTTCCAGACGGTGTGGCAGGAGAGTGAGACTGTCAGGGAAGCTGTCTTTATTGGTCCTGTGAGAACAGCATTAGCTCTGTGAAAACTGGAGTTCACGTTCATGAAGAGGCTTTTTCTCTTCCTTGATGTGCTATGGGTTTTAATGAGTTAAGAGAACAAGGAAGAGGGATTTGTGGAGTTACTGACTTTTGAACTGGGTTGAATGATTTAAATATTATCTTACCTTCCTAGAAGAATTCTGATAGGAAAGACTCTTTTTCTAAAGAAATTAAGAAAAATAGAAATGTTAAAAAATTTCATAGATTAAAATAAGTTGACAGGAATACATGAACAATTTGTTTTCCATATTACCTGTTTATTAGACCTCGCCTTCTCATACTGATTAATATAAGAATAAATACAAATTTTAGGTATGTATTATTTAATTATTTCTATATTGGCATCCATTATCAGGTGAGTCCGTTATGGACATTAGCTAATGAATACCTATCGACAAATTTTATTTTACATGCACAGCTCTAGAAACATCATTGACGACAATATTGTTGACAAAATGTTCATACGTATAGAATCATTCATAATTAAAAATACAGGTGTTTGGGCTTCACCTCAACAGCTATTTATCAAACATATAATTCACATTTTTAATCAGTACTAACCTTTAAATAACAATTTTGGAGGTAGCATCTATAAAAGTCTCATAGAAACATATGTAACTCAAAAGACTACAAGAACATTTTCACACTTACATGTTTATCAGAATATATGCATTGATAGTTTAAAAGTGTTTCTGTTTCCCTGGTGTGGAGGTGCATGTCTTCAATCTCAGCACTCAGAAGGCAGAGGCAGGTGGATCTTTGTGTGATGGAGGCTAGCCTGGTCTACATAGTGAGTTCCAGGCCAGCTGAGGCTACAGGGAGATCCTGTCTCAAAACAAATCAAAACAAAATTAAAAGAAACAAAACAAAACACAAAGCAAAGTTCTTCTGTGTTTTAAGGTGTTACCAATTTTGCCTGGTGTTTTTACGTAGGATGAATATTTGGAAGAAAATTGGCTGTGTCAATAGTGCAATGATTTATTAGCAGATTTTAATATTCTTTCCACATTTCCTAATTATTGTGACTACTAGAAGTATAAATGACATAAACAGAAGTATCAAAAGACTTTTTACATCTTGTATAAATCAGGCTCAGTTCATATGATTCAGATCCTTAAAGAATCAGTAATCCTTTAGCAAATCCACCCCTAGCCACTCAGTGCATCAAATCCTGGTATGTTCCTAAACGTTGATATTTTAACCTTTTAAAGAAAGAAAATCAACTCAAGAGCTTACACCAAACACAGCTTCACCTACTCCCAAGATGAGCAACCAGGAGGTGATTTACACAACGGTGAGATTTCTTCAGTCTCCTTTAGAGTTACAGAACAGAGTAAGATCCGGTGATACTGAAGGGCCCAGAGAAGCTGACCACAAAGGTAGATGAATTCTGCTTTTTATACATTGTACATGTTTGACGTTAAAATCAGTATCCTGCCTGCAATTGGGTTCTCGGCTGGTACACAATGGCCAGAGTAGAAGAACAATGGTCTTTTTGTTTTAAGAAAATGTATGAAGAACTGAATAAATTACTTTGAATTTGAGAGACCATGAGGATGGTTTTACTCAAATCCATTCAAGAAAAATTCATGAACCCTTAAAGTAAATAACAAACTAGACTCTGAAGTAAAAAGTATGTGCTAAAAATTAAAAATTGCTTTTACTTGAACCAAGTACATCTCTCTCTCTCTCTCTCTCTCTCTCTCTCTCTCTCTCTCTCTCTCTCTGTGTGTGTGTGTGTGTGTGTGTGTGTGTGTAGTATTTTAACAGGGTCTCCCTTGTCCCGTTTCACTGTTGGTCTCATAGAGGTCCAGCTGCCTCTGCCTCCCTGAGGCAGGCATTAAAACTGCACACCACCACACCCAGCATGAACCAAAAATGTTTTAAGGGTCTTATTTATCAAACTTTAATAATAACAAAGCACCCAAAATTGTTGAATCAGAGTTCTGTTTTCTGTTCTTTATTTCTGTCTACCCTTCTAATATTGTCACAGTTAAAGTCTCAGTTGAAAACTTACTTCTTTACATAGTGGTGATCAAAAGTATGGCTTACAAACACTAAAGGCCTCAAATGCACAAGGACAAATGCAGTATTGTCTAGAGAAAGTAGAATTTATGGAAAAGAACAGTAAGTTGATTCTGTGATGGGCCCTACCGCAGTTCTGCTGCAGAGTATCCACCACTGCCTACAAATTAATTTCTCAAGAACGTTCTCAGACCTTTCCTTCCTCTGTGTGCTTGGTTGTGATCTCTTGGTGGAATGCACACCTCACATTCTAGTTTGGATTCTCCTATAGGCATCAGGCCTATTGTTTTCCATGCTCTGTGAAAGATGCACCATTGGAATCCTATAGACCCAGGCCAGGCAGCACATGACTGTCATTCTCTCTGCTTGTGAAGCTGAGTGGGGAAGACTGAGAGGTCAAGACCAAAATGAACAATAAAACAATGAAATCCTATGAAACTGTTCCTGTGCATGGAATTTCCACGATGGATGTATGTCAGCCAGAAACCTACAATATTGGAACTGCAATTTCAGTCAGTGTGTAGGACGGATCTTTGTAAAATTTTACAGATGATTGTCTCTTTATTTGCCCTGTTTTCCCAGGTTCTGGTTAGTGGCAGGTCAAGCTCTTTCCCTGGTGATGATTTTCTTGCTTTCTTTTGTTTATTTAAGAGTGCACAGTGCCCTGGCATCGTGTCGCTGTGGCTCTCGGGGTCCTTTGTTTACTTCTGCTGATGGCAGTCATAGTAGTGTTGGTGACACAGAGTGAGTAAATGAAAAACATCTTTTTGGTTTAAGTAAGAACATTAGACACCAATTGTGTAGTACGAACATGCTCCATCTATTGTCTGGTCTGTAATCACAGGATGTGCCAGCGGGAACTGGACATCCTCAGAGGCCCACTTTTCTTTTCCTGGGCACATCATAGTGTCCTTTCCTCTCACCTGTGAAGATGACTCTGGCGGCTGTGATGAGCTGCCTTATTTGACTTTATGCATAGCAACATTCCTTCTGATAGCCGAGGACTGAGTGATAGTCTGCCTTCTGAGCTCAGATCACTGTGAATCTGATATAAACATTCTTTGAGGAACAGCTGTTCAAAAGAAATTATAGTTTTCTTTAGATCTTTTCCTAAGTTTATTTTAAAGACTGGCTAAGGCAAAAGAATAAATCTGTATGTGCATGTTATAAGATCTTTAGTTTAAGCTTTATTTTATACTTGAATTCTCACAGTTTTAGAGAGAATTACTAATAGGCTGTGATCAAATACAATTCCATATCCAGATAGTACTTTTTCCTACTATGACTATCTCAAGTGTTCCAATACTAATTCTACCAATTTTTAACTGTTTCTTAGTTCAGATTTTCATGGTATGGTAAGTGTTGACAGACTGAAATTTTTTTTATTTTCATACTTACTTGATAATTTTGTGTTAACTGTGATAAAAATGAAGGATTAGAAAAGTAAGGTATTTTCACCATATTTTTTTCTTCAGATATTTATTTCACACGTTAAGTTTATGATACTGAAAACTCTGATGTTTCTATTTCTGTGGTGAGTTATGTGAGGTGTCATTTTCTAAATGTTACAGTACTATTAAAGTAATATATGTGTTGGCTTTCAACACAAGGCTTTTTTTCTTTTATTTTAAATTTCATACCTTATTCCTTATGAGCATTTTTGTGCTTTCTATCTGCTATAATTTTAGTTCAAGTACAAAACAAACTGCAAAAAAAACCTGAAAAACGTCAGTGAAGAGTATTTCAACTTGCAAAATGATCTGAACTTAAGGGAAAAAATGTTGAAAAATAAGTCTATAGAGTATGAGAGTCTCAAAAACCTAACAGAAAGGAAGAGATGTCATGGGAAAAATAAGATCATTTTAAATTGTTCAAAATCTACAGGTATGGAGGAAATCTTGAATAAAATACCAAATTTATTTTGTATTGTTTCTTCTCTCAAAGTTTTGAGACGTAAAATGCAGTGTATGAGCTCGTGACCTGTGGGTTCATGGGCAACGTGGATCTCTTAAATATAAGTGGGTTTCCTTATTTCAGGTGGAGAACTGGAGTCTCCCAAACCTGCTCAGATTAGTATAACCTTGTAGTTTCTAGCTCTCAGGGGCCAGTCTGGTAGTCTGCTGCCTGTAGGAGATGAAATAGTGTCTCGTCTCCCATGAAAATTCAGGTCATTTTGCCCCTCTGAGCAAATCCCACTTTATTTGTGACATGGACTATGGAAGTTGTCAGTAAGAGTGTATTTACTAAATAATTAGGGTAAGAATGACTCAACGGCTTTTATATGAGTGCAAATATAAAAATACTTGTGTGTGTGTGTTTTCATTCTGTTTTTGCTGCAGATAGTTCACCTATCTGTGACTGAAATGTCCTCCCTGCAGCACATATATGAGCTTTATCATAGTATCAATAACTGTGCAGCTCTGTGTAATGATGACAGTAATCATACCGAAGAGATGATGATATGAAATATCAATAAACTTTTCTATTTTGCATAGTAGCTGGTTATCTTTAATTCACTAATCAATAATTATTCATCACTTGTTCAGGATTTAGTTTACAAAGAGCTTTGTGTAGAATCTCACTATTCTATGATAGCAGGAATTTATTATCTTCACTATTAAATGATCAATAATATTTTAAAAACCGGTATACTATATGAAAGGAAAAAAAAACTCCAAAAATAATGCTCTTGGCATTTCTGAACTAAAATTTTTTTAGTTTATAATGTTAAAATAGCTTTATTATCTGTATATAAGGGCATAATGCTATAATCCAAGCAATTAGGAAAAAGAGGCAGGAGGATTGCAAATTTATGATCATTGTGGGGAACACAGCAAGTTCAAAACCAGCCTGAGCTACCTAGTCACCTAAGAAAACAAAGGCTGGACATACCATGTACTAGTAGACTCTTGTTATTCCACAGAACTATCTCAATTTTATTTTGCTATTATTGTTCCACAAAATGGCACATATTGTAATGCATTCAACTTGATAAGTTTGGGAATACAGACATACCAGTGAAACCATCACCACAATCAGGAAAACAGACTAACTTCCTCAAATGCTTCTTCATCTATCTCTATTTTCCTTTTATGGTAAGAACACTTAACATACATCCGAACAAAATTTTAAACGAATGGAGTTTGGACAACTTTGTGTTAAAACAACTCTCTAAAATTTAATCATATTGTGTAACTGAAACTGTCTGAGCCAAAACTGTTCAGTTGTCCCTTCCTCTAGTATCAAGTGCTTTAAGCCTCTGCTTCTTAGATTATGGCTGTGGTAGAAACTTCCTATGAATGGACTCATGAAGTATTATCCTGTGCCTGGCTTGTTTCACTTAGCATTATTTCCTCAAGTTCATACACGTTCTCACATATGTCAGGATTTCTCTTTTTATGGGAGAGGTGAGAGACAGGGTCTTAACTCTGTATCATGGGCTGGTTGGACTCAGGATGGTGATGATCTCCTGCTTTAGGCTGGGTTTATAGGTATGACTGACAATTCCCAGATGGATTTTCTTCCTTTTAAAGGTAAAATACTATTCTTTTATGTAGGTATGCTTCATTTTCTCTACCCACGTATCAATGATTGGACATTGAAGTTTTGTTGTATATATTGGCTTTTATAAACAATGTTACATGGGACATGGGTGTGCAGAGATCTCCTGGAACTCTAGAATTTTGATTTTCCAGAGTTATAAGGTATAGGAAAAGCTTAAGTTTAAAGAGTTGTGAGATTTTATTTAGTTATAGAGGCTTAATAAACTCATTGCTCTAACAGAATACCAGAGTAGAGTCTAATGATTCACCTTCAATATTTCAGGCAAATGCTTTGAAGGACATTGGTTCTGTTGTGGCACAAAATGTTATTATTTTATCATGGACAGTAAAAACTGGAATGGATGTAGGCAGACTTGCCACGAATGCAGTTTATCCCTTTTGAACATCGATGACAGTGATGAACGGGTACCGTAGACTCTAAATGCACTTTATTTTGTTTGACTCTGTGACCCTTCAATAGTAAGATGCTGAGGCCAGGGAGGAGTTTAGAAAGAAGACCATTCAAGTGCTGTGTGTTTTATCTGTAATATGAGATATATATTACATACTGGGCAGTTTATTTTCCCAGGTTACTCTGACCTGCTACTTTGTAAGCATTCAGCACACCGCATCTATTAGATAAGCCTTCTTAATAAGGTTGCAGTTGGGTCTTTGCAATAGCCTCCCTTCTAAAGGAGTCTACAAGAGAGTCTCACAGAGAAGCATGCTTTCACTGGATCAGTTTAAACCTTTGGCAAATTCAGCCTGCCATCAACAATTATTTATCCTCATAGAATGACAACTAAACCTCATAGACAAAAGTCTGGGTTACTATCAAGAAATTAGATTGCTGGGAAGAGGTCAGTGTATGTCATTTACTAGCCAGTTTATTGTGTAAAGTAATTAACGTCTGTAGTTCTATCTGCAAACAGAAATGATAATAAAGACCATGGTAGTCAAGGCAGTTTTACCAGTAAGCCCCATGGTAGTATTCATTGCATCCATCCAAAACATTTACCTCAGTATTGTTAAGTGCTGTATAAAATTGTCTTTCCTTGAAAGAGAATTACTAAAAGAGAAAATATAGTGGCCTTGATACCAAACTCTCTGTTAAGTTTATTACTAAACAGAATGTATGTTTTTAAAAAATTCACTTATTTTAATTTTCTGTGTATGAGTGTTTTACCTACATATATGCAAGTGTACCCATACGTGCAGTGCCTAAGGATGCTAGACAAGGGTCCAGAACTCCTGGAACTCAAGTTACGAACAGTTGTTGGCAGCTATGTGGGTGCTGGGAACTGAACCTGGGTACTCTGCAAGAGCAGTCAGTGCTTTTAATCACTGAGTCATCTCTCCAGGCCCAGAATGTGTTTTTTTTATAGAGAATAACTTGCAAGGATCATCCCGAAATCTCTATTTCCTTATAAATGAAAGTGAGGTGAAAATATCCCAAATTTAATAGATTTTAAAAATTATAAGTTAAAATAATTGTTAATCCCAAATAGTGAAATAATTTTCCAATGATGCAGTCATGTTGTTAAATTAAAACCTGTATTTTAAAAATAATCAGTAATTTAGACTTCATGGCACTGTGATAACATATTTCAGTCACATTATAACACATTAAAGTCATAAATATCTCTCCTTTCCTTCTTGTTCTTATGTGGTCTGGACGTTGAGCAACAGAAATGCTTCCTCTGTGAAAAACAGAGTTTTGATGCACTTTTTTCGTACACACTGTTCATCTTAATTTGCTTTGACGATCCCTCCTGTCATTCAAGATGATGCAGTGACCAATTCCCTACAGCCCTTATTCTTCTGGAAAAAGAGTTTAAATGGTTCTTTAAAGTATCAGAAAAATATACTGAGACAGATTTGTCTGTGCACTTGGAAGCCAGAAGCAGGAGGATTGAGAATTCAAATGTAGAGTGAGCTACATAGTGAGAGCACATCTCAAAAAAGAAGTCATGGTCACAAATTGATTAAGGAATTGTTAGATACCTAAACTTTACCTCTTATTACTTGTGAAATAGATACCAAGTTTGACTTAACTGTTCTACCAATGGAAAATCGCTTTAGAAAATGAAAAATGGAGGGTTGAGGGGAGAGAGGACAGGGCAGCAGAGAACTGACAGGAACAGCCCTCCCTTTCCTATTGTTCTGTTTAGTCAGCTCACAGATGAGAACTTTATCATAAGATGCATTTTATTTCCTTTACAGGACTTCCTTCAGTCCCAGGTTAAAGGAACCAGTTACTGGATTGGATTATCATATGATAAACAGGAGAAGAAATGGAAATGGATTGACAGTGGCTCATCTAACCTGTGAGTTTGTGGAACCATTCAGACTCTAACACTGGTGTGGGAGCTGAAAGGACCTTATAAGAGTGCCCTAAAATTTCACACAGCTTTACTCATGTCAAATGGAGGTCAGTGGTAAGAGCAAGAAGAATAAGAAAGTATCTGAGCAAGCTGTTTGAAAAGGAAGAGAAACAAGCTTATGGGTCCTAATAGCAATATAAGCAATGGAATGCCTAACAGAAGCTTTGAAGTATGTTCTAAGATGCACGGCGTCAATCCTAATAAAATTTTTAAGATGTGTGAAGTGACTAGATATGAGTTTTAGTATCCCCCACACTCATATGACACATATAGGTAGTTTTTATGTTTATTTACAAATATTCAAATAAATGCATGCACACACACTTATGTATTTGTACTTCCCATTTATGAAGTTCACATTTAATTCTAATCTGCTCTAAAACTATTTATTGATGGTTTTAGAAATATAATTATACTTTTGTTCTTAGGAATTCTGTATTTGTCTTTAAATAACTTTGCTAGCTCTTTATATTTTCAAATTCCCTTTCATATTTTTTAATAATCAGCTTAATTTTCATTATTTTGTTGTAGTTGGTGTAAGACGGGGTTTCCTGTAGAGCAAGGTGGCCTTGAAAGCCTGGTCCTCCTTCCTCTACCACCCAAAGGCTGGGATGACAGGCCTGTCTCACTGTGTGTGATCTGCTGTCATTTATGTCTTGAAAGATATTATATATATATATATATATATATTTCATACTAGGATTTTGTTGTGATCAAGTGGCTATTTCTTTTAAATGAGCTTAGAGAAAAAGAAAATCTTTTAATGATGAATTTATGATTAATATGTCTATATTCTGTAAATTTTGACCAAAAGGATTTTTTTTTGGCCTTTATGAGACAGGGTCTCCCTGTTACCCCAGCTAGCCTGAAACTACCTATGTAGACCAGGCTGGCCTTGAATTTATGCAGATCTGCCTGCCTCTTCCTACTGCATGCTGGGATCAAAGGCAAGCGCCATCACGCTTGGCTTTTACTAAAAGAATTTTTTAAAAAAGAACACGAGCTGGGTATGGTGGCACACGCCTTTAATCCCGGCACTCAGGAGGCAGAGGCAGGCAGATC